TTGTATGTGTAAGTAGGTGTGTGTTCGTTGTGTTGGTAGGTAGGTGTAGGTTGTGGTGGTAGTCGTCGCGGTGCTGGTCAACGTAAGTATAATAATAATTTTCATAAATTTCAGATTGGTACAACAACAACATTCAACGGATATACCAACATCACCGGCTTTCGTCCTACCAACATACCACCACGACCAGCACCACGACCAGCACCACGACGACTACCACCACAACCTACACCTACCTACCAACACAACGAACACACACCTACTTACACATACAATCAACAGCATTATCCTCAACAAAATTATTATAACGATAATAATAACAACTTACCATCTTTATTCGATATCAACCCGTTTCATACGCCATCACGTCATAATACTCGTACTTACCATCAAGCTCAACAATATAATCCAAATCAACATCAACATCATTACCCACGTTCATTATCACGTACACGTTTTCAGGTCCTGTCACAATTACCATCACAATCACGATCACGTTCAAGATCAACACATCGTCTACCAATACCACCACCAATAAAACCACGTCGTACTTATCAACAACAACAAAAACAACAGCAGTCACAATATAATCGTCATATTTACCAGCAACGACAACAACCTACAAATACTACGACGACTACTACTACTTACAACAATCGTACTCTACAAGGTCTTATCATTTCAGATTCAATGTGTTCTCGCATCAGAACATATACTATTAATAAATTACCTTTATACAACGTCGAATTATCATACGAATCAGGTTGTGACATTATCAAAATGATAAATTGGTTACAAACATCTGAAGGTCAAAGTACAGTAGGAAATAAAGAATTTTTAGTTATATGTTTGGGTACTAACGATGTGGGACAGTACGGTGTTGAGGTGACTCTGCAGCGTTGTAGTGAGTTCATACGTTTTATTCGTCAGTCATTCCCTGGTATCCGGGCCATTGGATGGTTAGCGTTGTCTCCAAGGTGGAAGCCAACGAGATTCGTCTCTGCGGCCGATATCGGAGGTCTTCACTCTCTTTTCAATGAGCATCTCCAAATCTTATCTAAGCAATTAGATTTTGATGTTGTTGATGCGCGCTTAGGATCCTTGGATATGCGTGTGGAAGATGGGCTACATCCATCTAACACCACTGGCAAATGGAAATATGAAGGAGCTCTTCGTGAATGGTTCTCTTATCGTATTGCCGCACATACTTCTTCTTCTATTTCATTTCAGCATCGTCGAACACCATCACCAGCACCAATACCAGCACCACGAATAACAACAGCACCAACAACAGCACCAACATATGCCACAATAGTACGAAGAAACAATAATAATTACAATGATAATCAACAGCATTATACGACAAGACAAGTAAGGCCTTTCTCTTCGTTTTTTTCTTCGTCTTCGTCTGTTTTTTGTAATAATAAAAATAATAACAACAGTATAAACACGACAAGACAGGTAGGAAATTTTTCTTCATCTTATTTTTATGATAATAATAATAATAATAATAATAACAGAAATATAAATAACACTCAGCCTTTTACAGTTACAACAGATAGAATAGATAGAACAGATAGAATAGTAGTAAAACAAGTAAATAGAAATAGTAGACAACAGATTAATTTTCCATCAAAATCATTGATTAAGGAATACCCCCATAAGTTAAGAATTGTAGAACAATTTTTTAGAGATAATCAGCCAAGTAAAGAAATAGAAAAAGAGAAAGATAAGTTATTCCTAGCCGCCAACATTTATTATCAAAAAAGGTATTTTGAGGAAGAAAGTAAAAAATGGAAAATCTATGAACAAGTAGCCAGTCGTAAGGTAGAAGAAGATAAGGAAGATAGAGAAGATATAGAAATGTTAGATTTAGAAGAAATACCCCAAGCAAGACCATCTAGAAAGAGATATTCAGCCATTTTAAATATGACAGTTAGTGATACAGATAGCCAGGAGAATGAGAATAGTAATAATGAGAATGGGAATAAGGAAGAGGCAAGTAACGAGAATAGTAGTAGTAGCAGTAATAGTGAGATGGACGAGGATGATAGAAAGAAAAGAAAATTACAAGACACTAGCTTATCCCCCAATTCGAAGACAGTTAAGGAAAATAGTATAAGGAAAAAGAAGTCTAAGTCTAAGAAAAAGAAAAGAATAGCAATAGAAAATGATCCAAGAGCACCCCAAGGTAGTCCATTTTTATTAGTTAGTGAGAATAATAGGGAACAAATAGCAGCTAGAGAGGCAACCAATACCAGACAAGACACTCCAACAGATCCAGCAGCAAAAAAACAAAGATTATTTTCACATGTACCCTTACCCCAGAGAGTTAAGAATAGACACCACTTAGAACAGATAGAAAAAGAAAAAAATAGTCAGTCAAATGAGAATTCACCCATTGAGTTACCGAAAACACCACCAGGGATAATCGAACCATTGAGATTAAGTCCAAGACAGAGCACACCGAGAACACCAGTAGCAGTACCCATACCAATTAGTTATAGTCCAACGATAGCAGTAACAACAGAGCAAATCCGAGAGAGTATTCCCCTTCAGTCAGTAATAACAATAGAAGAAGAGCCAATAGTAGCTATGGAACAAGATATAGTTAGTCATTCACCATCAGTAATTTCTAAGGAATCAGATATTAATAGAATAGATTTATTTAAGTTTCCAATTATTCCCATTGAGTGTCAGTTTCATTTTAGAGTATTTCATGTAGCAGCAACTTCTGAGAATATTAAAGCACATAGAGAATTTTTAGAAAAGAAATCAATACAGCAGGAGAGGGACTTAGAACAGTTAATGGGTACATTTAGTATAGACTTACAGAGAATAATAGTTAAATATATTAAAGATAGTGTAGAACCCCTGATAGATAGATTAAATAGTTCAAATCAGAAGAGATTAAATAACTTACTCTTAGACCAGATGAGAGAAAAAGCAGTTAGAATAATTAGAAATAAGGCAGATAAGGATAGTTTAGAATTAGTAGAAAAAACACAGATGAGATTAGAGAGAACATTAGAATTAAAATTTCAGTTAGATAAGTTAGATAGAAGACTAAATGAGAACATGCCACCACCAGCTTTAAATATTATGGATAAGTTACAATTTCATAGTCGAGAATTAAGTAATGAGAATAAGGAACAATATAGCGAACAATGGAATAGTATAATTAGAAAAGCTAAGTTAGATTTAACATCAATAATGAGAATAGCTAAGGTAGCAGAGATAGATAAGAGTAATAAGGAACATAGTGAGTTAGTTGAGAAGATACCCAGAGAAATTAAGAAAGCAGTTAAAGATTTAGAACATACAATAGAAATAAGGCATAATAGAAGTGTACAAAAAAAGTTAGATTTTTTAGAGAGAAAAGCGAGAGGAATAATAGAAAAATAGCTAGAGGAATAGAAAGAAATAGTAGAGTTAAAAATTTACACCCACATTATACCCCGCTTGGATTCCCCCCTCAAGTTAATAATAAGGTAATGAGTTTAACAGATGAAGAGCGTAGAATATTAAATTATGGACCGAAATTCGTACCAGCAAACCCCAAACAAGCGTTAGATAGATTAGAGAGTGAAATTAGAATAATGAAAGATAAGGTAGCAGAAGCATGGAGACGAGAAACGAGGACTGTAGGTCGAAACCCAATATTAGTTGAGAATTTTGCCAATAGATTAGAAGATGAGTTGAGAAATAAGATTAGTGAGGGAAAAGGACGAGATAAGTTAGTTGAGAAAACCTTAGAACATTTTAAGAGTGAACAAAAAAAAGGAAAGATTATTTTCAGACAGACAGATAAATCAAAAGTATTCCACGTAGATAGGCCTGAGACATACATTGAGAAATCTATAGCTTATATGAAGAAGACAGATGCTTACCAAGAGATAGAGAATTCCCCATTAGTTACTATGATAGATAAGACAGAGCAGTTATTAAAAGATTTAGTTAATAGAAAATTGTTACCCGGAAAATATTTTGAGAAATTAAAACCAAATCCAATAGATGCCGAGTTACCCCATCTTTATTATAACCCAAAAGACCATAAGGTAGGAGAACCACTTAGACCAATTGTTTCGGGAATGAAATCACCAACACAAAAAATCTCGGCTTTTCTTGATCAAATTATTCGTCCCATTTTTGATAAATTGACCCCGTATAGTTTGAGAAATAGTATAGACTTTGTTAAATTTTTAAAAAAACACGGAACAACAGACCAGACTCTTTTATATACCTTTGACATAACAGACTTATATACAATGATCCCCCAACAAGAATCAATCTTAGCTATTTGTGAGATGTTAGGTGAGAATAAGATAAATAAGGTTAACGGAGAAATCCCCATCAATACAGTTAGGATCCTTTTTAGACATGTCTTAAAAAATGCATATTTTGCCCTTCAGTTACCAGGTGAGAAAGTTAAGTATTATAAGCAAATTAGAGGAGGACCCATGGGCTCAGAATGTACCCAAGTACTAGCAGATGTTTATATGCGTAAATGGGAGAAAAATTTCAGGGAAAAACAAGAACGAGAGGGTGAGTTATACTTTAGATTCCGAGATGATATTTTTCTAACAACTAAGAAGAGTAAGGTAGAAATGGATAAGGAATTAATAGAATTAGGTAAAGTAGATAAGAACATAGGATTAACTTTTGAGACAGGACCACATGTAGATTACTTAGATGTTAGAGTACAAGTAGAAACACCCAATTTTAGAACTAGAATTAATAGAAAGTTAGCAGCGCAGCCATATATTTTACCTTTTAACTCAGCACACCCGCCCCATGTTATGAAAAATATACCCTTCTCAGCAATTTTACGAGCAGTTAGAATATGTTCCCATCGAGATAATTTAGAAGAGGAGATAGAGAAAGATAAAATTACCCTTCTTTTGAATAAGTACCCACCAAAATTTATAGATCAACATTTTCAGAGATTTTTTGAGACTTTAACAGGGCAGAGGGATAAAAAATTAATCTTGAGCGAGAGACATAGTGAATTTAGGGACAAGGTCTTAGAAGTAGAATGGAATAAAAAAGAAAAACCCGGGATTAACTTTAATAAAGATATTTTACTTCACTTTACCTATACACCAAAATTAGCTCTTTTCGGATCAAGGTTTCATCAAATTTGGCAAGAGATTTTTGAGGATACACCACTTCGCGATATTCCCGTCATTTTTGCCCATAGGTTAACAGATAATTTAAAGAGTATATTAGTGCATAAGAAACCACCAAAGGAAGCCATTAAGGCATTAGTTACAGAGTTAGAATTAGATGAGAATAAGAATTAAGAATAAGAACTGAGAATAAGAATCGAGAATAAGAACTGAGAATAAGAATCGAAATTAAGAACTGAGAATAAGAACTAAGAATAGAAATAAGAATAAGGTATGAGAATAAAAAATGAGAATAAGATAACCCAAAGGTTCCCGTTTTTCGTTTTTCTAATTTTAGTATTGGATTCGTCGACATCGCCTCGACGACTATTTTTCGTTTTCTTTCTTGTTTTTCGTTTTGTATAATCGCTAATAGAACTTGTATGTTTTTAAATGTATAATTTTTTCTGTAGTAGATACTTTTAACTTTTTCATGTGATAGGGATTGAGCAACCCTGAGTTAAATCCTGCCCCAGCACCCACATTATCAATATACCCCCATTGAGCAATCGAACTGATAGACAACACCATCTTCAGTCGTCACGAGTGTAGATTCACCCGCGAACGGTGAGAAGCTTACGAGTGGATGAGAGGAAGGAGGAATGAGAGTAGCTAGCACGGTAGCCATCTTAGTTAGTCAGTATAGCCTGAAGAAGATTCGAAACGCGTCGCGCTTATTACAATTTTACTGTGTTAAATTCAATTTATTTTTGTTTAAATTCAATAAAATTACAATATAAATTCATTACAAACAAGTTTACTCTCATTCATTCACTCAACATAGCTCTTTTCTTACCAAAAAACTCTAAAAATTGTTTTTTTTTTTTGATAAATCCTAAAACAAAGCTCATTTTTCATTCATAAAATTCTATACATTTCTTTTTCTTTTTACTAAAACTCTCAAAACAAGCTCATTTCATTTCATTTTCTAAAACCTTTCTTATTTATTCATTTATTTATTTATTGCTCAAAAGATAAAACTTTTTCTTATTTAGTCATATTTTCATTCTAAAAAAGCCCATTTCATTTCATTTCATACTAAATTCATTATTTATTCATTTATTTATTTATTTATTTTCTCTCATAGACATATTACCATATTGTTAATTCGATCAAAAATACTTACCCCACACCCACACCCACACCCACACCCACACCCACACTCTGTATACCACCTATACATATTCATATGGATATAGACAGAATTGATACTGATATATAAACGACTCATACATTTTATTAAAATGTATGATAAGACTTGATAAAATCCTAAACGATAAACATCGTTTGTATGCACATCTTTATCTACGTGCTACAAATTTATTATAGTGTGTACTGCATTTTGAGTTTCCTGGAAATATGAATTTGGCATGCTTTTTGATTGGTGATGTTGTTAATCAATGATAACTCACAAAAACAGAAAATACCAGTATGGAGAACATATCATTGGACATGATTTCGGCTAGTTACGAAAATCGTTCATTTGTGTAATAATCTAGAAATGCTATAAAGAATAAATACCTAAACCTCTTCAATCATAATCTTTTTTGTACTTAATTATTTTTATTGAGTCTGTTGAAGGTATGAAGTCACTATACTATGAGTTGAAACTGTCAGTCTTGGTAAAAGTATACAAATATGATAAATTGAATTGAATACTGATTTCTCAATTGTATTATTACGTATCCCAGGACGAACATTACGACGGCCTGATACAATCGTAAACGGTCGCATACAACAACATATACTACCGTTTTATGACGTTTCCGACCGTAAATCGCCGTAATTTGACGTTTTGCCATGTACCGTATTACGACCGAATTTCGCCGTGTCGTAAACGACTACTAATGGTCGTGGTGTGATCAGATATTTCAATATTTGACCGTATACGATCGTTTATGGCATGATGCAAAACGACCGTGATACGGGGCATACCAAACGGCTGTATACAACACAAGTTGATCGACCTGGGAGCATAGGATATTAGCAAATCTACTCGATAACAGTTCGCTTTTGATTGAGCGGTACCTTCGATGATCATTTATCTAGAATAGATGAACTGATATCATGAGCATTAATTGCACAAAACTGAATACCATTCAATTTCGTATTATGAGAATATAAAACCGAGCGTATATTAATGACTTTTAAAGATCAGAATAATGTAAGAAACATGAATAATTAAAATCTGATCATCCTATTATATATTTCAATCTACAGGAAAAAGGCAAAATTTTATATTGGTTAGACATAATATATTTGAAAGGTGCTTTTGAACTAAGATCTATGAAAAAAAATAGCTTTGGAAAACTGTTTTGCACACTCTAAGAAAATAAGGTACACTTCCAAACCTTTTAAGTTTCACATAAGCTACGAAACCTAAAAAAGCTCTTTTCCGGGTACATCGACCAACCATTTGGTATGAAATCATCTTAAGATTCATGAGGCGAAAATAGATTCGGTATCAACAATACGGAGACATCCCTGTTCGAGAAAAATCCCCTACTGTTTCCTCTATTCGATACCAAGCCCTTTTTATCGCACGGATCTTAGGACGATTTGGTAGCAAGGTGTTGGCCCCCTGTGTCCGGGGGAAAAACTATATAAGGTTTCGTAGCTTTTGTGAAACTTAAACAGGTTCAATAGTGTACCTATTTTTCTTAGTAAGTGGTACATTTTTCACATATATAAACGAAACTTTATGCTGATTATATTTGCTATCTAATCTGATATGGCTATATGAGGGTGGATGTTAGTGTGGTTCATAGTATTCTGCTGCTTTCATTATTTTGGCATTTTTATTATTCTGAGGAATTTATTATTTCGAACAAACCGTACCATTTAACTAGTTTTGTAAATTTTCATAATTATCATGTTATGTGTTTGATTAATTAGAAAAAAACAAAATTCTTAGATAATATCCATGCTACATATTTATTTCAGTCACCAATATTTTATCAAATTCAGGACCAGTATATTTTTACTACTCTTTTTTTTACATGAGAAATAGTTTCAGCCGTTGACTCTATTGTAAAGTAAATCGTGAAAGAAAGTGTTGCTTTTAGTATGCATGGTCAAAAAACGATCTGTTTGGCTTTTACATATAATTAGATGCATCCTTTCATGTTTAACCTTTAAAAAACAAAATGTGTTTTTTTTCATAGGATGAATCAATCGACCTGTTTAAAATTCTAAATACTTTCCAGTTTATTGTAACCAAAAATTCGAATTAACTTTTCAAAAGCTCGCCATCCAACACTTCAAAAAGCAATAAATCCGTATTTTGAGAAAATTATATGTAAAATCATGGCATATGGGTCTGCAGAAGTCTTGGGTAACAAAAACGTACATGATTAATACCTCATATTGTTTAGGAGTTCTTTATCCGGAAATTTGAACGTTTTGAATAAAATCAGCAAGATATTTTTTAAAAGTTGTTTCTGTTTTAACTTTGCTGAAATATTAATAGTATTCCCGATGAAAGTTTCGAAAATCACCCATGATACATTTTGATAAGCATGCCTGTTATTGTGTTTCATTTATGTTACCATTTTCCTATGAGAAATATTTCTTTGTAATTATGTAAAACAAATCATCTTTCACATGTCTTTCCTTCCTTGGAATATGTGCTTGAGTTAAGAAAAGAGAGAAACTATACGCACACCAGCCCACATTCAATCCTATAGAGCTATGTCTTCAATAAATGGTGAAAACTGTCATATCAGATGAATTTCAGAGAGCAAAATCTGTCTGACTATATAAAAATGCTTTGTACGTAGGGCGAAAATTGCATTGAAGTTATCAATGTGTTAGGCGCCTGAGAAAAGCTCATCCGTAGTGACTCATCTTCTTGGGTGACGAAAAATAGGGTAGATGTGAATGAGTATGGGTATGGATGTCGAGGATAGAAATTGAAATTCATCTTGAACGAGTAAAGCAACTGTCAAAACAAAATAATTTTTTATGAAATTTTCACTTTTATTTAAGCCACCTGGTGTCTGCTTGGGATTTTCAATTGTTGGTGGAACTAATGTATCTCGTATTACGGATTGCCGAGCAATTGTGATTACACGTATTACTAAAGATAGTTTTGCTGATCGTGATCAACAGTTAAAGTAAAACTCATAAACTTTCATATTTCTGAAAACTAGAATCTATATTTTTCTTTCGTTTAGACTTCATGATATTATTTTATGCGTTAATAATATTAGTTTTACTAATATTGAACATCAATTAGCTGTTGGTATACTTAGATCAACTCGTAATAATGTTAATTTAGTAATTCCATTGAGTTTTCTTGTTATCAGAAGTACCGTGAAAGCATGTTGTGTATCTTTCTTAATTAATTCGTCGATTATTGCCACCCATTTTGGAAAAAATTTATTTAAATAAACCACCAAATGCAGATTTAGGTTTTTCCATTGCTGGTGACATTGACCTTGAGCATATTAAAGGGTTTACTTTTGCAGTTTAATTTGAAAGTTAAATAGAAATTTTCTTTTGTTTCTCTTTTTAGAGATTGTGGAATATTTATCATAAATATGATTCCAGGGAATATCGCTGATAAAAATGGACAAGTAAACGTTGGCGATCGTTTTATGCATATACAATCATCAGTAAGAAATATTCGTTGAATTTCAATTGAAACCGACTTTTTTCTGACAAAGAAAGTAGTTACGATTTAACATATGTTGAGCATCAACATGCTGCTGAATTAATTCGAAATGCATGAATGGAAGTCAAACAATAACCTTATCAGTTGGCCATCCAACAGATTCAGGTATATTAAGATGTGGCTGTGTAATTAAGTGATATCCGCACATCGCACTGACACTGGCACCATCCACAGTATTTCTCATCCTCAACCACTTCACTTCCTAATCTGCACAGCATCATGCATATCCACACGTATTCTTTGTTAAGCTGTCTCAATTTTACTTTATTCTTATTTTCTAGGCAATCTTGAAGCATTCGATAGGAACTGATTATAGGACACTGTAGGGAATATTCTTATTTGTTTATATTGTAAGCTTATAAAAATGAAAAATTCTACCCAATGCAGATAGTTTGCATGCACATTTTTTGAGTAAAACCTTTTCTCTTCAACTCTTTGTATCCTCTGCGGTATCTGATTTGCCTGAAATGAATTGTAATGATAAAAGTTACTTCATTTATTTATTTCAAGGCATCATAGAATAGAATCAACCCCACAGCATCACTTACTAAACGCCAAGTAGATCAATTGATAGAATGTTTCTCCTATTAGCTATATCTATTTTTAAAGATTTAATGCTTGTTTTTAACTTATTCAGATACAAGTGTGAACTAAAATGAAAATCAGTTAAGGGTTCAAAAGGTTGATCACTTGAAAATTCACGTAGTTCGAATTCTAAAAATAATCCAAATTAAGAATAGAATTTTTATATTCAGTCTATAAATCCAAACCTTACCCGACCTACAGTTCAGTTACATTTTCTACATTCAATACTACTTATAGAGTTCTGTGATAAAAGCAAGTAGATTACAGATCGTACGGCGCAATAGCTAAACTAGCGAATAGACCAGAGGTGTCCAAGAACTGAGAAATGGAAATTCCTAAATTAAAGAAGAATTATCAGCAACGCCATGATAATTCCTCAGGGAAACGAGAACAGAATATCAGTTCTCATAGTTCCCCCATTCATGAAAATCAAAATAATGCTTTCTTTGAGATACTCTTTGTACCCTAGTATTTATTTAGATAAATTTCTGGATGAAAATGAGTATAAAACCAAAAATATCGTGGATTGTGTATTTTTTTAATTTTAACATTCGGAAATTGGTGGAACTGAGGAGGAATTCCTATTCCACATTCCGTGGACACCCCTCACATATTTGTTCACATCAGCAATAGGGTGTTAGTAAATAATGAAAGTTTTAATTGAAATCATGTTTTCATTTTAAATGACGCCATGCATTTTCTCAAAGAAAACAAGCGCTGCGACAAACGATGGAAAATTATTATATCAAACGAACAGAAGTTATTAAAGAAGCTTTGAAGAATGGCCTAGTAAAAAAAGAAACTTATTGCTGATATTAGTAATGGGTGTACAAATGCGAAAGAAAACAATGGTAATGATAATGGTGGTCTAGATAGAAAACCTCGGATACAGAGATTTGAAGTTTAATTTTACCACATGTATCTTTCTAGTAACTTATAAATATAAATGTTTCTCTTTTAATCTAGACGCTATTGTAACTGATCTGAAAGAGATATTTGATGATATCATCGGATTAAAACAAACTAAAGAAGCATTGAGCTATGCTATCATTTTACGTGTTAAGTTTTCATATCTTTTTGATGGTATTTACTATGTAACTTATGCACTATTCTGTTATTCTTGATTTTTTCTAGGTAATCGTAAATCATGGACTAACATTTTACTATATGGAGTGAGCTTTGAGCTTTTAATTAAATTTCATATTATAGTTTTTATTAAAGCCTACTGGTACTAGTAAATCATATTTAGCTAAAACTATTGACGTTGGGTGTAAAAGTACATTTGTTTTGATGAGCCCCTCGGACCTCATTTCGAAGTGGTTCGGTGAAAGTGAAAAAAAAAGTGAAAGATTTATTTAAACTTGCTCGTGAACGACAACCATGTATTTTATTTTCTGATCATACTGATGGTTTGTGTGAAAAACATTATAATACAGAATCTGAAACATCAAGACGGATCAAAAATGAGTTTCTTGTTCAAATGCGACGTATGTTTTCTGCATACTCATAAGAATGAATGAATATTATTGTGTGATATTGTATAAGGCGTTGGACAAGATAATTCAAATGTTCTTTTACTTGCTGCGACCAATATACCCCGGGCAGTGGATACAGTTACTCTACGAAGGTATACTTGCCGTGGAAAATGCGTGATATATTTATTTTTCGAAATTATTTCAACTTCGATAGACGAATCTATACGCCATTACCTGATGTAAATGAAAGAGCAGCTTTGTTTAAAACGCATTTAGGTTTTAGTAATTATCATTTGATACGAGATCATAAATGGATGCAATTAGCACAGAAAGCTCAAAAGTAACTTTTATATTTTTATGATATGTAAGATAACAATGCTTGATTTTAGCTATTCTGGTGCTGATATTGATGTTATTTGTCGAAAAGCTTCACCACAATCCACTCGACGGCTTCGTTCAGCAACTCATTTCAAAAGAGTAGATTTTCTTCGATCAATTCTATTCATTTATTGATTTGATGATTTTAACTTAGGTGTAAAATCCAAATGTTTATGACCCTTGATGACTTTGGTTTGTTTGTTCACCTTTAGATCCAGATGCTCAAGAACTTACTTTAAACGAAATAAAAAGCAAGGAATTATGCGAACCATTAGTAACCATCGTCAGTTGTTCGAAATATTTACCAAATTTTTAATTGAGATAAATAATATTTTTAGAAAGATATGCTAGCTGCTCTTGCTATACAAAAACCAGCAGTAGACAAATCTGAGATATTAGCATACACAAGGTTTACTCGGAAATTCGGTCGATAAGGTTCATAGTATCAATGTTCAAAATAAAACATCTTTATTAATGACCTTCTTTGTTGCTGCTTATTCTTGTTCGAGATTTCTATTATTTGTTTTTATCTTTCTCAAGGGTCTCATCACATGGATAAAACGCTGTGTCTATTCTAAACAAACGAAAATGATAAATGCTGTAGAGCATATTGGTCTTTGCAAGGTGTATGTAGGAATTATTTTCGCGTAACGTTGACTTGGTGTTATACCTGAAATGGTTTGAGTTCCATAGTTCGCTCTTTGGCGTGTATTCGGTGTGAAAGATAGTTTCCGATATGATTTATGTTCATTGGAAGTTACTCAAGCATCTTTATTTATCAATTACGAGTGAATTGATAAGTGATCGCTTCTGATGATTAGGCGTGGTGTCTATGACTCCCGGTTGGCTCATTCGATCACTATACTGGCAGTATGGCAATTTTGTCCTTTAGAACAATGACTGGATTAGGAAATAGCGCGTATGTTCCTATTTTCTGCTCAGATAAGTCCGCTTACTTGGAGAGAAGTGCTCGATGGCGCTTCCTGGGATTTATGTGCATTCGGAGATCGAGTCGTTTTCTTCTTATTGTTGGTATGACATTTGGTTTTTCCAGCATTCATTTGTGACGTTCTTTGCTCAACGTAATATGTTTCAATGTCTACTATCATCTCGTATTTTACGGGATTGCTCTTAGATATCGTTTTATCTGAGTCGTGTCACATGTCCCGAAATTTGGAGATGCCGCATCTCCAGCGGGAGAAGTGGCCATGCACCATCGAAGAAGTATCATCTCCTTTAGAGATGTACATCCCCACACCCACACCCTTAAGAAGCTCCACAGACGTTCACTGACCGTCGTAGACGGATTCCAGAAAAGAAGTTTCATCTTATTTCACATTTCAATCTCACAGGGATTGCGCTAACAGCTGTTTTAATAAACATTAACTATTCTTCATTACGCATAGTTATTAAAATTTAGCGGCAAGAAAAATTTCTCAGAGATATGCAATGCATTACAACATTGATATATTCCTATGAATTCTAATTAAAATGAATAAAAGATTTTTCTTTAACGAAGTATTTTATTTTTTCTAATTCTTGTCATTTAGTTTCATTTATGACAATTCAAAATAGAATTATAATTAACAAAATGAATTTGAATTCTTCTTGGTTTTCCTACGTTCTCATATGCATTTTCAGACTGAAATTTTTATTATTATTCAGTAATAAAAATTATAGTAAGAGATTTTAGTTTTTTTCTAATAAAAATAGGAAAATGATTTGTCGTTCTCTCTCTCTCTCATTTCACGATGACTTTCAAAAGAGAATCGTGAATAGAACTGGAAAAAAATGATAGTATTTCATCTTTCTTCAACTAGTACCATAATAGAAGAGAAGAAAAAAAGATTCGAATAGTAATTGTTTTTGCTTTCTATATTTTCATAATATGAATAAAAGAAAAAAAAATCATACATCGATTTTTATTCATAATACTTAATAAGAAGAAGATGGAGATGAATAGTTATGCTTTTAACAGTTCGAAAGACAAAATACGATTGCTAGAGGAAGAAAAATCGAAGATGACTTGTATATTATCAATGGATGAAAAAAAGAAGCTTCGATTTTCTTTATAAAAATCAAGTAGGCGCCTACTACCAATTAGTTTTATATGGATCGAAGTAATTTAAATATTAATATTTACAATGACTAACATAATATGCCTTTTGAAACATCGATGTTGGTGCGATTTTTGTTTTCAAATTTACGAATCCAATCATGTCCCAAGAATTTGAATTATACTAGACTGTAAATACAGATAATTATAAGATGAGTATTAATAATTTTATTCATTGAAAATCATAGACCAAATAAAACAATCAAATGTCTATTGAATATATTTTTATAAAATCATTCTAACTGACCACGAACAATAAATGAGAAGGATTGAGATATGTTCAAAAATGAATGTGATGAATAAATAGAAAAGGTATATCTTACATCAATGAAAATATTTATTTAAAATCGAAATAAATTAAATGATCAATCGCCATCTCGAAAAGCAAAACTTATAAAATAAGAACACGATGAAAGTAAGCCTAATGGAAGAATTTTACACAAGAAAATAATTAATGATAGAAATCAGCGCATTCAGAATAGTATTGAAGGAATTATTTTAGAATGTGCATCGTACGTTTGATTATTAACTTATAATTTAGGACAAGTAATAAATATTTCCCAAACTTTGATCAATCGACAAAGAAAGTAGAATATCAGGAATATCATTTTATTTTTATCTACTCATTCTAGTCTTTGTTTTTACCGAAAGTGCATTAACTGATTATTGAAAAAATATAAGGAGTTAAATATTTTAATATTCAGATTGTAACGCAATCTCTTCTGGAATCCTTATATCGACCAGTCCTTGAGAAATAAGTACTATCTAGCCAAAAAATCAACAACAGGATTTTGCCCTTTCGTTTCGTATAAAAGTGCATGTATAAATAGTTCTTTTATTATAAAAAGTGATTAGTAACGAAAAGAAAAATTAATGATGTTGCTTTTTTTACATTTCAGATGGTGCATAGCCTTCGAATTTCTATTCTTTTCGAGTTAAAATGAATTGCAATCAGTACAATATGTGTCCTATGAATAAGGTCCTATATATGATTTAGTGGTTATCCCGAACTATGAAAGGAAATAGAAAATGAAAAGTCCCAA